ACAAACAAGCGCGGAATGTCCCAGATGACAACTTGATTTTGTTTGTTTGTTCAAAGCCATTATTGAGAATAACAACCCAGTAAATAGGCCTGTATGTGACATTTGAGCAAGCGGAACCAGCAGAATATCCTGGCTGGATTTCCCTCCTTACTATGGATTATTGATCGATCGTTTCATCTCTTACTCTAAATACAATGAATAACTACTGTACACGATATTGTGAAGGATGCACCCTAAATTTAACTGTAAATTTATCTTCACAGTTTGCGCACACCTGTGTTTATTATGTCCGCAATTATATCATGCAGATTTAATCCTGTTCATTTCTTTATTTATTTATTTATGGTGGTGTTCATCATTGCAGACAAAGTGCATGATCATGCAATTAACCTGGGTATAAATTACTTGCTTTGAGAAGACTGAAAAAACAAAGGAACCAAGGGAGATATTGTCAACACATAAGCATTTCCTCTGTAAAAGCAAATGCAGTGCAAACTCGTGGTCGGCAGTTTGCACTGATATACTTGCCATACCCGAAATGACAGTTTAAACCGCGAAAAGTGACATTATGTTGGAAACTTCCCTAATTACATCACACGTGATCACTGACAGAAGGGAGCGTCGTAAGCGAACACATTTTATCCTTCCGCCACAAGCACGAAATAATTCTATTATCTCGCTTTTCGGGGTCAGAACGATTACTCGTGTAGGCATTTTGCTTTTCAGCGCGTATTCTTAATTAGTAGAAGCATATTAGAGACGTGTGCGTTTGTCAGGTTTCATTAAGCTGTGGGACTATAACGATGAAGGCGGCGTGATACGTACTCTAAAATCCCAGCCTGCTCTACCTTCTTTTTTTCCTTCTGTGGAGGCCATGATGGGAGCCTGAGAGTTCAGCTGGAGCTAGAGGAGCGAGAAAAGAAGATGATTTCCCGGGACGGAACTGTCAAATCAGCTTGTACACATTTCTGAACTTTGTATAGTCTCTATACATCGAAGGTGGAGCCTGTCACTTTTTTTCAGATGTGTTCCTGGCAATCAGTCGATGACAATGTTAAATCGTTAGGGGGCATTTGGATCGAAAAAGGAGGTAGCATTAGCTATTGTTGCTAGCTAGCTGTGCTAGCTAGCTAGTTAGCTAGCGAGCTAGCTACGTCTTAGTGACTGGATACGGGTTTAGAGAACCGGTGAGTTCTCTGTCTTCTTGCTGTCAATCGCGGCAGCTGCCATTGAGCCTTCAGCTTGGACATTTCACGGCATTCTGAAGTATTTTCTTCTGAGGACACCTGCATGTATTTTATCCGGGGGTGTTTGCAAAACGAATTGCAGGATTGGGAAAGTCGGGCCTCCGCGGAGGAGCAGAGCAAGGCCCGTCTTTATGATCCAGAGGAAGCCTTTCTAATCCTACCGACAGCCACCGCTACTGCTGGCTAGCACTTCTCTGTCAGGACCTGGAAAATTCAGCCGTGAGCCACCGAGAGCAGACCCAGTGACTGCGACATAATCGGCCAAACCGCCAATACTAGATTACCCCATATAGACTCCTGTCACCTGCTACAATGTCGTCGATTATAAAAGAAATGGTCAGTCGGAACAAAAGGAGATACCAAGAGGATGGTTTCGACCTGGACTTAACATGTATCCTTCTTAATTTGTAAAGCCTTCGGGCCACTGGTCACTAACATGTTCTAGCTGCACTGGTTAAGAGCACTGGAACCAGTTCGGTGGAGTAACGTGAGGTAGATGGCTCCCCTGCTACTTATCGTAGCTAGCTGCTAGTTGGTCCGACAGCGCAGCTTTGCTGTCACCCAGCATGTTTGAAAGATGGTGGATCTGTCAAAGCGGCACGTATGAATACCACACTAACATCACAGCTGGAAACCTCTGTTAAGCTGGACATTGGTCTCTGTGTTTAAATGTGACAGGGCATTTAGCCTGGGTGAACCTGGGTGAAGGTTGTGAAATTGTTAGTCATTTGGCCATATTTATCATTTTAAATCTGTGCCTCTCGTAATCATATATGATGCGTTTAGGATTTGTTTTAGGGTATCTTTGGCTTTTATTTAAATCTGGATTTGCTACCCAGGTTTTTAATTTTTGGTGGGTTTCTCGTTTGTTTTGACACAATCGAGCAAATGGCTAAAGTACTCTTGCCCCTCTCATCTGTGTTTCTTGATGGATTTAATGTTCACTGATGGATATAAACGTTTAAAAACTCATTTCCCTTTTGTTAAGATGGCTATTAACATATTTAAAGAAATTAAATTTCAATCTTCACAGCAGGACTGACACTGACAATAGATGACCTGGTTCACTGGTGCAGTATTCCCGCTTCTAAAGTTGGTACTTTTACTTATTTGGCTTGTGATAAGCTAGAATAGCAACTGAAGTGGTTGACTTTGGGCAGCTAAATGCAAAATGTAATTTGCTACAGTGCTTAAAGTTGGTTAATGGTAAAAGTTTCAATTAATATGCCTTTATGTGTTGAGATCACATAAAGGCATATTTATGTGATCTGTGAGTCCCAGAGTTTGACATTTTTGGTTTTATGGTGGAATTAAGTTGTCAGATCATATCCTATTGTTAACAAATATATATTTATTTTTTTCTAAGCAAACTAAAAACAATACAAAGCCAGCTTCTCAAATGTGAAAAGTTGATGTAATCAGTTTACTGTAAGAGGAAATTAAGACGTTTGAAAATCCCACCTGGGCTTTGGGACTTTTTCCACATTATTATTGGGTGGTGTGTGTGTGTTTGGAGGGGGGGGGAGTAATCTAGAATCTGAAATGGCAGATTAATCAATAATGGAAGTTCCAACCCTATCTGGTTCCTTAAAGTATACAAAGAGTTGAGCGGCCTGGAGTGTTTATGTACTGAATTTACTTTTGTTATTGTTAGCAACTTGAAAACCTTGCTGAGTGGCGTGTTTTTTTGTTCTTTCTTTTCTGAAAGTGCAGATGTAGAGCTGAGTGCTAGTTACCTTGACTTGACACTATAGATAGAAACATAGGGAAGTGATTTCAGGCAGAGCTGTCAGCTATGATGTATGTGTGACTGCAGATGCTGATGAAAGGCGTGTCTCACAGTATTTGATCTGATGTTTCTCGCCTGCTTTTATAATGTGGTAAATCGAATGTCATGTCTTGTCAGTGGCAGGACTCTTGTGGTATGCCTCTACAGCTTTGTGCAGGTGTGAATGGGGTACACCACTCAAAAGTGGAATCTTTCTTTGGTGCGAAGCCACCTCTTGTTTGGATGTGGGCCTTTTCGAATTATCCCTTTTATCATGTTTGGCACTATGTCTAAAAACAATATGGGCTTTCTGCAGTTATGTAATGCAGTATCACAGTTCTGGGAATTGCCCTTAAAATAGAGTTGCCAGTGATCTTGTATCATCATTGCTGTCTGAGTGCTCTCTCCCTCTTACCCTCTCAACCCACCACCTCTCCTCTCCTTTTGCTCTTTTTCTTTACTACTCCCACTCCTAATTCTCCCTCCCTCTGCTTGCCCCTTTTCCTCTGCTCTCCTCCTTTCCTGTCCTCCCCACCTTAGCTCCTGCTGGGTCCCACTCTCCCTATCTCCCCCCCTCTTTCGTTCTCAGTTGTGGATTTGGCATATGCATAGAGCTGAGGCAGGGCTGGCTTTTAAGAAAAGGCGTGTCTAAAGCATCAGATTTTTTTTTTCCCTCCTACTTGGAGCTTCCTTCGGGGGTCCAACATATGAATCTCTTTCCAGCTGCAGAAACCAAGACCCCCATGCTCCGGGCTGAAGTTATCCCTGAAGGTTTGTAAAGATCACTTAAAGTCTGACTGGACCCACTTTGCCTGTAGATCCACGGGTTAGAGTAGCCTATTATAAAGCATTAAAAACCTGTTTTTATCTCCTAATTAGGTTTTTGAGCCCTTAATCGACAGGTTTATTATAGTACAGGATATACAGCTTAGGCGGCTGTGCTGAGTTTCAAGGAAGTAGCTTGGCTGTATGCAAATAACCTCAAAGATTTGCTATAGGGCTGGCTTGAATTTATGTACGAGGCCTGTGTTGTGCATAGCCTGGTTGCATGGGGTTGCGTGAAGGCACTTACTGAAATCCTCTGATGGGGTTTTGCTGAAAATTTCCCCAAAAATGGCTGAAACAGCATTAATGTCTGCCGTAGTACAGTTGACCCGAGTTTGTGGAAAACCTTTTTTTTGTACTTGTAGGTCTGCTGATTGAACAATGAGCTGTGTGTATGCACACTGAATCAAAAGAGTTGACCTTGTGGGCTTTTTGCATCCACAGGTACTTGCATGCGCACTGCACACACCAGGAAAGTTGAGGGCTGTATAGAGGCTGCCGGCTGTGCTTTCTCGCCAGAGCTGTCAGATGCGTGTGTCAAATTATTCTGACCAGTTAAAAAGTGATTTGACTCTGGGTGGGGGGGGGGGGCAAAACGAAACACATCCAATTAGAAATATTCAGCCTTTCTATTTTTGACGTTGTGGCACAGGAAGTGTAAGAAAAGGTTGCCCTTTAGTCAGTGGTTAAAGTGTGAAATCCCACAGCTTAGACTGACGAGCAGACTTCAGTTACAGGTAGGCGTTGGAGCCGAGCCTTCAAGACATGCATGCCAACCAAATTATTCTTTTTCAGTGCAATGTGACACTGATGTGCGCCTTTAAGAGTGAATGTATGTCACCATATAATTGGCCACGACATTTTCCTCACCGTTCTTGCGGAAATATGGAGCCATTTGAAACACAAACACCACCTTTTTCTGCACCTGCAAATTCGCAGCTCGGCGCATTTGTTTTTTGAGTTAACTTTTTTCCCCCTTCCTTACATGTGTGACTTCATGTTGCCCGCTTGCAATCTCGCAGATATTCAAATGTCTCTGGCTGAATTCAGACTAGATAAGTCGAACATTTGCGATCATCCCAATATAACTTTAGGTTCTAAAAATACATGCAGGTCAGGGAGCAGAGACTCTACTCATGCACCCACATGTGGGCCTGGCTGAAGCAGGAGTGCGGTTACTCTGCCGTCACCGCTTGCTTCTCACTGTCAAGGCCATCTGTCACAACATGCACGCACATACTGGCCAGCACCCCTCCTCTATTCTCCTGTCTATCCATAACTACAATCACACTCTTATAATGGCGTGGACTAAAACTTTTCTCAACCCTTTCACTCATGTCTGCATTCTTGAAGTTGTGCTGTAATGGCAAATTCTTTTAAGCAGTCCTTTCCTTTAAAAGCTTTAGTTCTGACGCTGGGAGCCTTGGTAGTAGCTCCCTCTTGATTTCCTGCAGATACATTACATTTCCTTGACTGCTTGAACAGATATTTACCCAAATATCATTGCAATGGGCTTTCCAGCAGAGAGACTTGAAGGCGTGTACAGAAACAATATAGATGATGTAGTACGGTAAGTGTGATCTCGGTAAAGGGTAATATAACAAACATGCAGTTTATTCTGCAGTACATGAGTTTATTCGTTTTGCTCTAGCACTTTGATCTCATATCGATCTAATGATTTTATTATTTTTCTGCGGACAGGTTTTTGGATTCAAAGCATAAAAACCACTACAAAATCTACAACCTGTAAGTTTCTACATTTTGTTTGCATCTGAGCTCATCCTTGTTTACTTACCAGCTTCCTCTTGTGTGATTGCTAACTGGAGTTTTCTGGGGGGGATTTTCTTGACATTTCAGCTGTGCAGAAAGACACTACGATACTGCCAAATTTAACTGCAGAGGTAGGCTGCTTCACGTTTTCTATAAATGCTGTCTTTAAGAAATAAAATCCCAGCTGAAGGCCTGATGACGCACAAGGTCATCAGATCTCTCAAAATACTCAGCATCTTCCTGCCCGCCTTGTCTATGCTGACCTGTTTGCACTGTCCCCCCCCCCCTCTCTCATCACAACTTTGCGTGGACTTGCATCCCGTCACACCTCAGTTGCACAGTACCCCTTCGAAGACCATAACCCTCCTCAGCTGGAGCTAATTAAGCCGTTTTGTGAAGACCTGGACCAGTGGCTCAGTGAGGATGACAATCACGTGGCGGCCATCCACTGTAAGGCCGGGAAGGGCCGCACCGGAGTCATGATCTGCGCGTATCTCCTCCATCGTGGGAAATTCCAGGAGGCCCAAGAAGCACTTGACTTTTATGGGGAGGTCAGGACAAGGGACAAGAAGGTGAGGTCATGAAAGAAATGCTTTCAATTCAGAAGGCTTTATTACTTTTTAGAACAGTGGCATCAAGCAGGGCAGTGACTGATGAGCCACATCCTGCTTAATTGGTTTCACATTGAAAGTAAATTTTCTGTTCAAGCTAAGAAAAAGAGAGAGAGAGCATACAAGATGACTGAGTTGATTTTCACTAATAATTATCAAGGTTGCAAAGATTTGAACACACATAGAAAATAGAAGCATAATTTCAGGCACCAGTGCTCTGTTTTAAGAAGTAATACATATTAAACGGATAAACTCGAAGGTGATCTCATGTTGCGTCCTGCATCCCTCATCTGCGTCAAAACCACGGATGTCAAATTCATTTTGCATTGTGGGCCACATGCAGATACGGCCTACTTTGATCTTAAGTGTGCCGAACCAGTGAAACTCCCTTTTCTGTCAGTCTAAAAAAGTTTCACTACACATTTAATCTCCGAGATATTTTAACATAAGCAATAGTACTGTAGTTTCATCAACACATCTCAGTTTTACTACATGATTAAAAAATGCTGCTTTGCGCTTAGAATGTAAGAAATGTGTAAAATTACAGAAAAAGACAGTCCTGTAATTATAAAATGAAAAATATTTATTTTCTTCTTTTTGCTGTAATCCCACTTTAAAATCATACATTTCTATAGTAGATAGTGACTGATTGGGAGCTTTCTGTTATTTGTTTATCTGTTACTTATTTACAGTGGTTTAGTATGACTGGCTGTGAGGGAAAAGCCATAAAACTTATAAAATACACTTAAAAGTCTCAAATTCATGTCATCCTTTCCATTTTTTTCAAAGCCGGTCCAGTGGGCCACAGTGGACTCTTTTCCGCGCCAATTCCAGCCCCTGGGCTTTATGTTTGGCACCCTTGGTTTAAACATTGTTGTTTTTGTTTGCAGGGAGTAACGATCCCGAGCCAGCGTCGCTACGTCTACTACTACAGCTACCTACTGAAGCACCAGCTGGAGTACAAGCCGGTGGCATTGCTCTTCCACAAAATGGTGTTCGAGACTCTCCCTATGTTCAGCGGGGGCACCTGCAGTGAGTCACGCTCATGTTCAACTTCAACTCCAATCTAGGGCGTAGGCATGCATACCGCTGTTCAGACAGAGCGAGGGCCTTGCATGTATGGTGCACCGTGGGGCTAACCCACACTGCAGCGTAGCACCGTAGGGCATTGCAGGTCATCTGTGGTGGAGCCAAGTTGTCCTTTGTTGTTTCTTTTTTATTTATTTTTTAATAGCCTTGTTGAGTACAGCTGAATTTTGTGCTGTATTTAACTATCAAGGGCGGCTTTGTATCGATCAAGTCTGCTTGTTGCTGCTCACAGAAAATCCCGGTGAACCAGATCCCCACTGGTTGTCTTCATAAAAATTTCAGATTTTTTTTTCCACAGGAGCCTTTTAAGATTTTTATTAGCTCCGAAAGCTGCAAAGTCGAGCCATTAATTTAAATTTTTTTGGCTCCTCTCGAGGGAGAGACTTTTATAGGATTTCATTTTCTATGCTTGCTATCGAGAAGAACTACAGCATGCCCTTGTATAGAGGAGAGCGCATCCTATAGTAGTAGCTACATAAGCACAGGTTTTACATGTTTTCCTAAGGCCGAACCAGGAAGTAAGTCGAGTAAGTCGAGAGGAATTTAGATGGCGGTAATTTTAGCAAACAATAGCGCAGCACTCAGTAAGTCACTGACGGTAACAGCCACTCAGTTATGAGTATTTACATATCACTGCATGTTTGCTCAGAGTTTAATTGATATGACGGCTGTAAAATGTCTGCCAACATTTGCACTTGTTCTCCCCTGTTGACGTAGTGACAAACGCAAGCAGTCCAACCCGTTTGATTTATTTTTTTTAACAGCCGTCAAAACCAAATGCTTACTGCAGTGCTAACTTTAGTGATTTCCCCAAATTTCTAAGCAAATAATGTCATTCTTCTCAATTTAATTTCGTTCCCTGTGTTTCATTTTTCATGTTCACATGAATGCAGAGTGTTTAGCTGCATGTAGAAAAGCTTTTTTTAGTGTTTAAATAGTGCTCTGTTTTAGCCTGAGGAGGGGGTTAAAAAAAAGTGAAATAATTCTGCTTATCTGCTCAAATGCATCTGAGTCATACGATGTTGTGCTCTCCTCGTATCTGAATTTGTCCATTTTTAGCTGTCGGTCAGAAAAAGCAACCTCTCCTTCCTTCATGTCTGTGACTTCTTTACCCTAACACGTGACTGTGCTGCACACCCCTGACTGTATCGATCCTTCCTTTTTTTTTTCCTGCTAACCCTCTGCTTAAAAAGGCCCTATTCTGAGTTTGACGTCTTCGTATATGCATCGCTTTTTTCTATTTTGCGGTTTGTTTTTCTAGCTTTTCTAGTTCTTAGCTCACTGCTGTGATAAAATAGAAACTAGTTTAATTGCTAGAAACTGCTCAATGTCAAACACTTCTCTCTTTATTTCCACCAAAGAAAACTGACGCATTTTGGTCGTTTGATTTTCAGCAATTTCAAAGTTCCCTGTTTGTTTCTTCCTCTTTGTGTTTCTCATGTGCACACTAGGTGCCTTGTCAAACGTTTTTGTAAGATGCACAGCTCCGCTTTGAAGCCACGGATTGAATGTTGTTATTAAGAAAAGCTATGTAGATGTAAATATTTGTGTAGAGCTCTTGTGTTTTGTACCTGCTGTGCTGTCAAGCCCCTGACAGGCCAGCCAGGCCCTGTTTGTGATAATCTCCTTCTTTCTCTCTAAGGGGACAGTACCATTAAAAACAGGAGCGAGCCGACCCCTCAGGGCTTCAAGAAAGGGAATTGGCATTGGGGTAAATGAGCCTTTCATCCATTATTATTTTTTCACTCATTTGTTTTTATATGGCCCCAGAGATCCAGCAGGCAGGAGCAGTCTGAGGTAGACATGTTGCTTAGCAGGAAAGGAAAAGCTTAGGGGCACATGAAGTCATCTCCAGCACCACCCTCCACCCTGACAGGAAGAAGAAAGGGTTAAAATTCTTCTAAATGCAACGTGTTGCGCTGGTCCAAGACCAAACCAATGACTGTATCAGAATAGGGTCCTGTGTCTCTGGTTCTGGGTCTATTTGGGTGTTACATTTTGTGGCCTGTTAACTTTCCCTTTCTCCTCCTTAATTTTAATACAATGTTTTATCACTTTTTTTTCACTTACTCAGTGGGTGGGAGGTGGTGGTGTGCTGTGCCATTTTCTTTTGTCAAACTCATGTAATAACACTGGTATCCTGTCTCGCCCTCCTGATTTACTCCCTCCTCCACTGTCGCTCACTCCTCTTATTGTGCTTTCTGTCTCTTCTCTCCCACTCCCCCCTTCCCCCTGTCACAAATCTCACCAATCGTGCTCCTCACCCCTGTACAACGTCAACACTTTTTCCAGATCCCCAGTTTGTGGTGTACCAGCTGAAAGTGAAGATTCACACATCGAACCCCGCTCACACACGGCGCGAGGACAAGCATATGTTTTTTGAATTTCCCCAGCCGCTCCCAGTCTGCGGAGACATCAAAGTGGAGTTCTTCCATAAACAGAATAAGATGTTGAAGAAGGTTAGTTGTCTTTGTTTGGGAGATTTCATTGCGGCTTCATTTGCTCAGTCTAATTTAGGAGCTTATTTCAGCCACTGTATGCCATAAAGTGACTAAGTCACAGAACGATAAGACGACTAAGCATTTTCACACTTAGCAGGGTGCCAGCAATTACGGTTTTATTGCCACAGTTCTCACAAATAAACCAAAAATCAAAAATGTGGTATTTTTAATATCTTGGGTCTCTGTGCTGCAGGCCAGTTTTGTCCCAAAAACTATTAAAAACAGATCAATTAGGCACACCATTGGCATGTTCCTTCAGGACCACAAGCAGGGCAACCAGTTTATTTTGAGGTAAATCGCTCATTCGCTGTCCTGCTGCCATAAATACTGAAATTTATATTAACCCACAGCTGAAAATAGACCCCAAAAAATGCACTGTTTACTCCTGTTAGTAGTGTTTGCTAAAAACGACACTGGTTAAATGCTCGCTAATTTCCTAAAATGGCTGGGTGCAGTTTTTAACAAACGCTTCTGAAACAGGAGCAGAATAGTGCATTGGTATAAAAAAATGTACTGGGTGCACAGCAGTTGAAAAATGCTTAAACTGACTAGTGCAAGGCTGGCTTTTCTCTGAATTTGTTGACAGTAAAAAATGGACCATCAGCCTTAGCTAGAACAACTGATTTTGGAAAGAAACCTAATCAAAAACCTGTATTGTTTCCTTTCAATACTTCATTCACTCAATCTGTTGTAACCTCTCTCCCTCCAGGACAAAATGTTTCATTTTTGGGTGAACACTTTCTTCATCCCTGGACCAGAGGAGAGTGGGGACAAGATGGAGAACGGGGCAGTTAACAGTTTAGAGAGCCAGCAGGGGCCACCAGGGCAGGGTCTTCCGGGACAGGGACCTGGACCAGGCCGACCGGGACAGGGCCAACTGCAAAGTGCCGAGTGCAAGGACAACTGGAGAGAAAACTACAGGGAGGAGAAGAAGGAAAGCAGCAAAGAAAGCGACAGGGACAAGGACTATCTCATCCTGACACTTAATAAGAACGACTTGGACAAGGCCAACAAAGACAAAGCTAACCGCTACTTCTCACCAAACTTCAAAGTAAGTGCTGTAATCTTTCTGCTGTTGAATAACCGTATATCTGCTGTCAGTTCACTTTGCATTTTTAACTGAAAAGAGCAGCGACGAGACTTGTTTGTGATCATCTCGTCTTGGTTTCCAGGTGAAGTTGTACTTTACGAAAACCGTGGAGGAGCCGAACTCCGAGGCTAGTACTTCAACATCAGTCACCCCCGACGTTAGCGACAATGAGCCAGACCATTATCGATACTCTGACACCACTGACTCAGATCCGGAAAATGAACCTTTTGATGAAGAGCAGCACACACAAATCACAAAAGTGTGAACTCTTTTTAAACAGGAAAAAGGAAGAAATTATACAGCAGAAAAAAAGGAGAAAACTTGAATATAAACTCAAAAGAAGAACCTTTGTCCCTTCCCTCCCCCAGACGGCAATAGAATATCATCATGTCAAATGCCAATTTTAGGGGGAAAAAAAGATGAAATATCCTGACCAATATATTGTTTTGTTTTGTTTTTTTCTCTCTCTGGCACGACCATGAACCATGTGCGAGGTATTGACACTGTTGCCCCATGGGAAAAGGTGCTGTAGCTATAAAACTGTGTTTATATATATATACATACATATATGTATATACATATATACATGCATATATAACAAACTTTTTTGTGTCAAAGACAATGGAAAGAGTACCACAATCAGGAGATGGGAGTTGAAGTGTGGGAGAAGCTAGAATGATATACGAGGACTATGCTGCTCTTCTCCTGTCTAAACCAAGGCCAGTGCTGCAGTCACTTTGTTTCACTCCCTCTCTTCTCCTCTCATCTTTTACTCTCCCCCACCCTCCATCCTCTCCTCCTTCCTATATTCCTTTACTGTGAATGCTTCTTGTGCTCTTTGCAGGCTGTCTCACGTGACTTTTGGCCTTTGTGCAGTGCAAACTGCATGCGGGCAGTGGGTTGGGGGTGGGCGGGGGTTATAAAGAGGCTGTGATGATGTCTAAAGCATTGCCATTCCTGTTCCCACTGTGTATATGTTAAATTATGCAGAACAAGGCATCCCATGTAATTGTTAATGTTTTTTTTATCCTAAGATAATAAAAATATAATACACAAAACAGCAGGGAGACAAGTGTTTGCAATAATGTTGACACTACATTTCAAGGACAATGGTGAATTTGCATGTATTAGAATTGGCGTCCATCCCTAATAAATGTATGCAATGTTGTCTTTTTTTTTTTTTTTTTTTTTGATAATGAAAGCAGCTTTGAGATGCGTCTTCTGCGTGGGGTTCCCCGCTGCTTTGAGTCATGCTCACAAAATTACATCACAGCTTTATGTAATAGAGCTGCAGTTTTCCGTTAATGAAAATCATGCAGAATGAAAATGAATTTTCAAAGTGCGCAGTTGTCATCGGGCGTCGTGGCTAGTGCGGTCTTCTAATTTGACACCGCTGCTGTCAAATGAAGTCGTAATTTTAAGTGACGGTACCCAGACCCTGTAATCTAAATTTTTAGCATGTGTGAGACGGGACTTTAGTGCAGAGCGCTGTCCCTGGTGAGAGGGGGGGAGGAAAAAAAATGCTGTAAAGCAGGTTGTCGTTGGAGCTGTGTTAACAGTAACTTCCTGCTTTAAAGGTCAGTGCTGCAAATAGCGAGTGGGACCTGAGTTAGGGAAGTGATGGAAGGATTGTTGTTAGAAGTTCAACTGAGGGCGAAAAGCCCACTTTAAACAAATAACACTGAGTGGAACCAGGGAGCTGCGAGCATCTAATGGCAGTGTAGTGGTGAGAAAAAGCAGAATTGGTTGATTATATTTGGAAACATTGCTGCCGATTGGAGTTTGTGCAACCTCGCTTTTGTGGTTTTTGTTACATTTTTGCCAAGCACCAGTAGATTTTTCTGAGAAGCAAACTGACCTCTGAACCCTAATAAAAACATTAACATTTATGAGCCAAAGCAGCCCGACTTCATACCAGAGTATCAGCGCTGCATGTGGAGTGGCTTCTGCTGGTTAATAAAGGCGTTCTCCATATGAAATAAGCAGAGGAAGGAAAGGCTGCCAGCCCAGGAGGGAGGTGTGCGAGGCCTCTGGTAGTCGAGCCTGCTCTGCTTGCAGGCTTGTGTGGTTCCCCAAATGAAAGGGTAATAGGATTAACAAGCATGTTGCTGTGATAGCAGTGCAGAAAGTGGCAAGACCCTGGCTAAAGCTTGGCCCAAAGTCTCCTGATAATAAAATAAAGTATGAATTAAACATATATATTTTAAAAATTGTTCCACCCCCAGGGGCTGGCAGTCGCATAATCCCCTTCTGCTCTATTAAGACTCGGTCCCCGGCTCTTTCGTGTTGATAGAGACATCAAAGCCAACCAGCGCAGCGTCAAATGAGACAGGCAGCAGTCGCAGGGGCCCAACTGTAATTGGCTGAGCTGAGAAGGAGGGAGAGACTCTGGTAGATTAATAATGAATGTGCTGTGCTGGGCTGAGAGACCAGAGAGAGATGCCTCAGCTCTCCACAGGCACACAAGACTGAAGCGAACCAAGAGCCGTGACTTCAGCCGAGTTTGAGAGTCCAGCTCTTTGCTTCTGATTGCTACTCTCATCACTTAAACACTCCAGAAACTGCACCTGAAATATGAATCGAAATGTATTGCCTCATTTGAATGTCTTGAGGGCTGGCTCCTCAGAAAAAATGTTTGATTTCCCCCACATTACCATCTCTCAAGAGGTGAGGCACCAATGGAGAAGCAGGAGATTTGGAGGAATGTTTGCTTTGTATAATGTGAATGTGAATTTTCCTTAAACAGTACATTATACATCCAGCAGAACAAAGATGGAAGATGATACAGCGTTTGCGGATATGATGTGGAAAATCGGCCAAGCCATGGACAGGAGGTGTTGGTTTGTTACAGTTAGAATCAGCTGGTAAAGACTCCCAAAGTTGGATAACTAGCCGTATTGATGGATGTGTTTATGCTTATCCTGAACCTAAGAATAATTAAGAGATCTGTACACCTTGGTGCTAATTTTTCCAGGTGGTCACTTCCAGTATTGCAATGAAAATAGAAATCCCAGCCGCCCAAAAAATATTTGTCTCACATACCAGAGAACAACTAATTTTAATCTATAGAAGTACAATCTCTTTACTACTTAGATAAAAGGTGTGTGTGTGTGTGTGTAAGTTGTTTGATTAAACTGAATATATTATCCTAATAGTATAAAGATGTTAATCTCAAATGTAGCTTAATGGCTTGATGTTAAGATCCTGGGTTGAACCCCATTTTGCCTTTAGAGCTGTCTTAAAGGTACAGTAAGTATTTTTTCAGGTTACGTGATAGAAAGAAGTGATTGCTATACTCATAAATATGCATTGATTAGTGTATAATTACGTCTTCTAACACATGATGTGTTCTCATAAACTCAGGATTAATCCATTAAAAGAACACCGTGGGCAGTAGTTCATTTTATTATAGTTTTATTATATAATTTTAGGCTCGAGTGTCCAACGATGTTAAATCCACTTCAAGGAAGGTTTCACTGATGGCCACTAAAAGCGTCAAAACACTGTGCACTTGAATTGTGAAGGGCAAGAAAACAGAATGCGGTTGACTGGAATCTGCAATTTACTGACGTCTAGTTGTGAGACTTTACACACTGTACCTTTAACTCTTTATAGCTTAGATTCAACAAGGTGCTGGAAAAAGTCTCCAGAGATTTTGGTCCATATTGATAGCATCACGTAGTTGGTGCAGATTTGGCATAGGCATGTTCAAGAAATCACTGTGAGATGATTTGAGCTTTGTGGTCTTCTGCTGCTGTAGCCCATCCAAGTTTGACATCCTGTGCATTCAGATATGCTCCTCTGCATACCTTGGTTGTATCGGGTGCCTTCCTTTTACCTCGAAGCAATCTGTCCGTTCCCCTGCGACCTCTGAAATCAACAAGGCATTTTCATTAATTTCAGAGAACTGCCATTCACGGAATATTTCCTCTTTTTTGGACCATTTTCTGTAAAATCTAGAGATGGTTGTGTGGGAAAATCCCAGCAGACCAGTGGTTTCTGAAATACTCATACCAGCACAGCTGGCGTCACTGACAATGCCACCTTAAATCACCTCTCTTCTCCATTCTGATGCTTGGTTTAAACTTCAGCAGGTCGTATTAACGATGTCTGCCTGCTGTTGCTGCCATGTGAGTCCCTGATTAGATATTTGCGATAACAAGCAGTTGAACAGATGTACCTAATTTATATTTTACTTCCTAGATTAGATAATTAGTGACTAATTAAGGAATTAATTCAGTGAACTTTGCTCTTCAGTACTCATTTTAACCAATAAAAATGGTGTACAATGGTGAATAAAAATGCTACAGAGAGGACCTAAAGAGAAAAGTGGGGGAAAAAACAGCTTAAATCTCCGGGAGCTCTTGTGACAAACCCCAGAACCTGCAAAATGACAACCAGGTGAATACTTCTGCACCGAGATGTGTCTAAATGATGATACTGAATCAGAATTATACATCAAATGTTCATGAACCTTTTGGGGTTTTTTCAGGCTGTCACAATATTGACTCAATAAGACCGTGTATTATGTATTTCTTTTTTTTAAATTGACATTTAATTATATTTATTTTGCGGCATGTATGGCCTTCCACTGTCTAAGCCTCTAACTACTGTGAAAAAAGGGGGAGGTAAAGAAGCTAACACCAAAATACAGAGATTTAAGCATAGTATTATGATGAAATAACAGAGGGGAGGGTGGGGGTCAGTTTGGCCTACAAAGAGAAGTTAAGTCCAAGCTGGTAACCCCATTTCCCTTCCATCTGTTGGTAGCAGTTGTAGAGCATGGCTGCACTCACCAGGACCTGGCAACCCATCCCCCAAGCCCTCTTTCTCTGGCTGACTGCACAGCTGTGTTGCGTTTGGATTAGGCCAAGAATAAAACAGGAAGTAGAAATTAAACAAAAGCTTAAACACACACTCACTCACACACACACACACACAGGCGCTGTAAGTTACCAAAGACTCAGCAGCAGCACGAGTGACAGGCTATGGAAAGAATACACATACTCACACGTGTAGACCATCACATTCTCAAATACACACACACACATATACATATATGTGTGTGTGTGTGTGCGTATATGTATATTTATATGTACACAGTGACTGCAGTATGAAAAAGTCACACACTGCCTCCAACAAACTAACATGAGCCAAGGCCATACCACAAGCTCATGCTCACACCTATGGTCTGTTTACATCCTCATTGCCTCTTCATGGTGGTCTGCTGTGAGTCGAAACTCCCCCAAATCTATCCTGTAAGTGCCAATATCAATGTATTTTTTTCTTTCTCATGAGATGACACGTAAACAATATAAGCCCACATTCATCGCGCAAATGGGTACGAATGAGATAAAGACGCCATAAGTTGCTCCGATTACTTATGCATTCACTCTGATTATTATTCGAGCCGGCTCACTTCTCCCATTTTTTTTAATTAATCCGCCACATTAAAGCTGGAATCCCATCCAGCTTTTCTTTGAAAGGAGATTAAGACAAATATCACAACAGACACTGCATTCGTCAGCATATGATTAAACCTATATTGTCCTTTTAACTAGTTCAAAGTAGGGAAAGAGCCTTCCGAACACCATAAAACTCAATATATTTTTTTGTCATTATTTCTCTCGTTTGTGAACTTCTGCCGTCTCACTTTCAGCAAATCCTTTGCCTGGTTTCTCTCTTTTTTTTCTTCTTGTGAATGCCCCAAAATAGCCCCTCCGATAGCACACAGGAACTATGGTGAATGAGGAAGTGGAATTAGGAAGAAGAAGGAGACGTTTGGAAACATGTAGCTGTAGGACCGTATGGAGCAGCACGACTTAGCAGGAAACAGTGAAATCCATTAAAGTGCTTCTCGTCATGAGTTTGGACCAACTGTTAATGAATATACGGTAAATGTTTTCAGATGTAATTTTTACTGTCAAGACCTGAGTCACCTTATGAGTCACACGAGCCCTGCTTTTGTGTGTCTGTGTGTGTCTGAGGGGGAGTTTATGTTGACATGGATGTGCCAGCATGCTTTGTCAGCCTGTGTGTGTGTGTCTGTTTATGTGCGTC